ACTTGAAGCCTTTGATTTTGGAGGTAAATTTGTTTCATGGGTTGAGTTGCTGTATTCAGAGCCACTGTCCTGTTAAAGGTGGGGGGAGGACTTAGCCCACCAGTCCCTGTTCAGAGAGGTATCAGACAGGGGTGTCCTTTATCTGGGATGCTGTATGCTATGGCTATTGAGCCTCTCCTACATCAACTCAGGCGAGGTCTTACAGGTTTAATCTTGGCAGTGAAGGGGTCTCTGTTTCATAACCCACTCATACAGAGCAGGATGCTCAGTTCCATCAGTGTACAGAGAATCCTTATAACAACTGGACTGACAAAGTTGGCCAGACTGAGGTCAAGACACTGGGGTCAAGTCTGTCTGTCTTCTCGAAAGGCTGTTGGAGGAGGTGATGGATGGTCTTCCTGGGTTCTTTAGGGAGGCGTTGGGGACGGAGCTTGCTGAGGATCATTCAGTCACATCACAGCAGTTTCCTTCATTGTCCATCTGTGCTGCAGTGGAGGAACAGGAAGAAGGAGACGGAGCTCTGCTCTCTTTACCAGACTTCTCCAGAGCATCAAAGAGGAACCTGTATGCTGTAGCTGTGTCATTAGCTGGTGTCCAAGAGTCGAGGTGGTTTGGTGTGTTGGCACCAGGGTAGTCTTTAACACCCACCAATAGAGAGAGATGGAGGCAGTCCTACATTGCTACCTTAAAGAAGGAATCTAGCCTGAAGAACTGGCAAGACTGGGTAATTCACTGCTGTGTACAGAATATAAAATAATCTGCAAAATAATGTCTCTCAATAGTCTCAAGGAATGTATGGACATGGTTGTTACACATCAGCCAGACATACTAGTATTCCTGAACAAGACCAATAATAGACAATCTGTTTTAATACACCATTATGACTTAAAAAAAAAAACAAAAAAAAAAATCTCAGGAACTTGGATGTGGGACTTTTTTTCTCGTCAATCAGAAAAAGCTTTTGATATAGTGGATCATTGTTTATATTTTTAAGACACTTGAAAGCGCTTTGATTTTTGGAGGTAAATTTGTTTTCATTGGGTGAGTTGCTGTATTCAGAGCCACACTGTCCTGTTAAAGGTGGGGGAGGACTTAGGCCCACCAGCCCTGTTCAGAGAAGGTATCAGACAGGGGTGTCCTTTATCTGGGATGCTGTATGCTCTGGCTATTGGAGCCTCTCTCCTACATCAACTCAGGCGAGGTGCTTACAGGTTTAATCTTGCAGTGAAGGGGTCTCTGTTTCATAACCCACTCATACAGAGCAGGCATGCTCAGTTCCATCAGTGTACAGAGAATCCTTATAAACAACTGGACTGACAAAGTTGGCCAGACTGAGGTCAAGACCACTGGGGTCAAGTCTGTCTGTCTTCTTCGAAAGGCT